GAAGCAATGCGCACAAAGCAGTGACTCACATTTTTTATAATGCATCAGTCCACAGGAAATGTCATATCAATTATTATATTAGCTCAATTATCAATGCATATCTTGTACTGATCATACTTAATAATTGCAAAAAAATCCCATTAATGTTGCTTCAAAACACAGCCGGATGCATATATATATATCTGCATTGAGCTTTGTTTCCTTTCAATTTCTCTTCCCATTACTGCTATTCACTCGGCCTGTAAATTGCAATAATGCGCTTCAGCAACTGCAGCAGAAAATATTTAGCTGAAAAGTAGGCAATACATTTTATGCATTTGCATTTGCTGCTGCATCGTTTCTGTGTGTGAAGCACAATTTTCAGCGTGAATGGCAAAAACTAATTTAGCTGCGCCGACCGCGAGACTGGGAGAGCCAGTGGGCAGTATTAGAGGTAGACGTGTATGTGTGTGTGTGTGTGTATATATATATCCCATTGACTAACGTGCATACGTAAACACATTGCCTACACCAATGCATTGGCAGGAAATGTTGTTCTTGCTATTGTTGTTGCTGCTGCTGCTGCAGCTGCAGTTGTTGTTCTTTAATTTGCATTGCATTTTGATTTTATGACTACATCGCATGCATCAGCCGCGTTCATTGACCATGAATAACCAGCGGAAATGCAATACGCGCTGCGGTCGCGTTTCCCATCTGCATCATCCACATTCGTTTTGATGAATCATATTGCAGGTTGCCAAAAGTGTCCCGCTGTATGCGTGGGTGTATGTACATATGTGTGGGTGTGTGTAGATGTGTGTGTGTGGGTGTGCGTGTGTGTGAGTTTGTGACTCGTTTTAATGACTAAACGAAAATTGAGTGTTGCTATTGCTGTCGAGTGTTTCATTACGTTTATTGCGGCTCCAACATAAAGTAGTCTTTGCCACTTTTGTTGTTGTTGGTATTAAGAATATGTTTGCTATGTCACCGAACACAATTGAGGCGAGTGCCAGCTTTAAGAATTCAAGACGAAGCTCATACTTAGGCAAGATTAATGGCCACAATTTGGGCGGAACACCTGATAAGAAATGATATAAATAAACTGTGCCGTAAATTTAATTAAAAACAGGTAATTAAGTACTAATTAATTATATAAAATTGTGAATATAATATATTGTACCTTTATAATATTGATTTATGTATCTACTCTGAAGTAAGTAATTAAATTCTATTAATCAGATTGTCGACTGCCCACATTGAAATGGTATCGCTATTATCGCCAAATTATCAATATTTTCCTACAGAAATGATTCGACCTGAATAGAAAGGGGCTAGTAGCACGCTTTATTACGGTACTGTTTTTTACTTTTTTTTTTTATGTTGCCTAAAATACAATACTTTAGCTATATATGACAACATGGCATATTTCTAATTATTAGGGCTCTGTAATTAACTTTACTGTTATTCTGAGTTGCTATTAACCTTATAACACCTCCTTTTTGTTTTTTCCCAATTTGCTCTGCTCGATAGAGTAAATAGTAAATAATATAGTCAGTATACATTAAATATATATTTTAAATGTACTTTACTTACGTACTTATCGAAGCTATGATATGGCCTGATTTCATAGTGGACAGCAAAATATTTTTAATAAATCTACTAAAGCAGTCATCACAAAGAGTTCAGCCATTTGCGGATCCAATTCAGACTCTAAAATCTGCATTATGAAGTAATCTACAAATCTTGAAATGGATTCCTACACAATGAGTTTGATTCGATATAGATATGAAACTATATTATGCATCACAATTATGAAAATTGATTCTATTTAACTAACAGGCCCAATTCCTGAGAGATTGATTTGATAGATGCAGTTATAAACTGTTTCTAATCATTTTAGTATAAGCAATTTATATTCATCTCTAGATTCAATATCTATATGTATTAAATATATGAAATCTTAAGCAGAATATTTAGCTATATCTAACATAGATGACTAACTATTGCTATATGAGTTAAGGTACAATTTTACTACCTGAACATATATTAAATACTTAATATACTATAGTAAAATACCATACCACCATAAACTAAAGTCCACAAAATATATTCCCTTTGATTTAAAACATTGTCGAATTTGTTGTTTGTTCTTCTGTTTTATTCATTCTTTTCACATTACAAACTATTTTTAAACATTTTCGCTTGCGCTTATACAAAAACCCAGTGAAACTTAATATTTGAAAATCAATTAGCCCGATAACCAAAAAACGTTGAGGAAGTGTTCATATTTAGTTTTCTTTACGTTTTCCATTGACCATTTTCCACTTTCCACTTTCCACTGTTTGTTCTCTGTGTTTAGTGTTTTGGGGTTTTGTAATTTTTCGTAAATTTACAACACGCACAAGTTTTTATTTTGTATTTTCGTTTTTGCTTATAATTAATGGAGAATATTTTGAGTGAGCTGCCCGATTCCAATTGGAATGAGTAGTTCGTCTTAGAGTTCTTAGAGTCTAGTGGGCAAATGAGTGTTGCGTATTTACAAGAACATTTGATTTGGCTAGTTTCGTTTAAAGCTGCCGCTTGCTGTTATCGTTAACAAATATCAAATATGAAATTTATATCAATCAAAGTGCCAAGCTGCTTTGCTTTTCGTTCTGGACGGCTATTGCAGAAATATGATAAAGCTGGCCCAAACTCTGGCCCAAAACAACAACAAAAATGGAAAGTGGCTTTGCGTGTGCCGCAGCTGTTCCACTTGACCTGAATCGAACGCCTTTGTATGCAAATTAGCTGCCTGTGAGCCGATCTCGTGCAGCTGTCACGCCGAAGAGTTGAGCTGCGAGTGCGAGAGAAAGAGAGAGGGAGAGAGAGAGAGCTGGATAGGGAGAGGGACGAGGCGTTATGAGTCATATGGTCTTGTTTGTTTCATTGTCTCTTTCTTTGGCTCTGTCTTGTTGGCTTGCATGCATGCATTTTGCGGTTTGCTGCACACCTTTCGTTCGTGTTGCTTTGCCATTTTTGGCCTGTTTTTGTTTGCCGCAAATTGTTGGGTGTGAGCGGCTGTGCGGCCTTTGTGAGTCAAGCTTTAGCCAAAAATTAGCATAAGCAAATGATTATTATCTCTGCGCACAGGCCACATATGTGGAGGGAAGCTAACGCTTGGCACTCTCTGAACATAACAATCAGCTGGAGTTTCGTGTGCTCAGCAGAGGCTTAAAGCGGCTTAAGATATTTTTCACAACATTTAATTGATACATTTTATTTCAGGCATGAGCTGCCAGAGTCCTTAAAGAGCAGTAAATCATGTGGGCGCCTTAGAAATGTTGTTGGAAATTATACAACTTGTTTTTTAGGCTTAGCGAGTGAGGTCTAGATATTTAACGTATTTTTGTGGGAGAGAATTATATAAAAAAAATAAGTAAACTAAATAAATAAATTAAAAAAATTAAATTAAAAATTTACAGCAGAATTAGAGCATATATTGCATGTTTAAAAAAAATATTAAAATTAATTTTA